CCATGCAAGGTAACTTATTTGAACAAAGTTATTAAACATGAAATGAAAGAGCATCTCCCTAGCCAAGCAACCTATTTGAACAAAGTCATTAATCAAAATGAAGAATGCAAATTTGTGATCTTCATCTCTCATATCCTACGTTTTCCTAAATGATTTGAACAAATTACTTTAGCCTAATTCCAATCTTCTTTGCCGTATCCTATATTAATAAAATAATAACACAACCATAAATGGGCTTAGGTAGCCATGAACAAAATAGAAATTCTATGAAAACTGTAACATATGCAGAAAAGCAACACATGGATTACCTCATTCAATTTTTTTTCCGAACCACCTCAATTAGTAGGGTTGATTAATTGAAATTTAATAAAGTGGGTTGGGTTCACTGAATTAGTAGGAGCAATTTTGAGTTTACTTGTATGTTCTAGACTGCAAAATGACCTAGAAAAGAGAACAGGGTACTTAGATCAACGCACATTAAATAAAGCCCACCAATATGGCCCCAGGGACACAAAAATCAAACCCAAATATGCGGCAACAACCTTCTCAGACAAATTAAAACACCAGCTTGCAGTGGGTCTTTTGGTCCGAACAAGGAGGAGAAGGTTCAAAATCTCAGTTTACAGTGAAAAGCTGACAGTTTCTTTTGTATTCCTAAAAATTGAGCATAACAGAACCAACCTTATTTTATGGTCAGGATATTAATCCTAGACACTGCAAAATGCCAGAACCAACCTCATTTAATCTCAGACCTGTTCCGCCGTCTGGTTGAAATCATTATCTGTTTGACCTTAATTGTCGACAAAATTTTCCACTGTAAAAGTTGGAATCTCAGGTTCTGTTTAAAAATGTTACAAAACATTTGTAAATAGATGTTACCCAGATGCGTAAAGTCACTAAGCTAAGAACTAACCTTGTCCGAAGCCTGTGTCCCTTAACGTAAGCCTGCTTAGCTTAGGTAAGACTAAGCTTGTATCAGACCGTGACAGGCTCCCCCACTCAATCCATTGTCATCATCGATAATGGTTCTTCTTGTGAATGGGTGTCTGTGTCCCGTGCCATTCACTTCCGTGCTAGTTCCTAGGCTCGCCTGGCCAACCCGGGTCTCACCTATGTTGGTGTCCATTTATGGGAACATAACCATTTCACCATGCCGATCTACCTAGACTTCACCCCCAGTGTTGAGGTTACTCAAACCGCGGGATAGCTATGCTGTTGAAAGTGTGAAAGAAGGGCCTCGAAGAAATTGTGTGTGTTGCTTCGCGGAGGTCCACCCCATGTATCATCTTTACCTCAAAGGCCAACCGTCTTCTTGGTAGCTTTTCGATGGTGCTACCGAACACGATGTGATAGGTCTACTCCTGTTGTTGGCGTGTGTCCTGGGTGTACCCTTTCACCATGCAGGCCTGTAGATTTCACCTCGCTGTGTGTGGGTTACTCAAACCTAGTCATGGCTTATGCTTTGTTGGCCCTCAAAACTACACTTCACCTTGCCGGTTCGGGCTACATCTTCGCTTCGAGGGGGCCCCAATGTGCTGCTGCCTCAAGGAGATCTGACCGCAATGTGCGCGAGTGTGACAACTTTTACCCATGATGTTGCCGAACATGAACTTGCCTTGTGATGTGATTGTTGCGAATGTTCCGCCTATTTGTTGAACTGAGCATGTCATCCGATGCTTTTCCGGTATAGGGTCGCCATGCTCCAACGGCTAGTGTACCCACATTCCTATCATTTCAATATTGTGGCTTCAACCAAGGACCCATTCTGTGCAAAACTGCCACTTCAATGATATTCCTTGACCAATCGTCGACACAAACCAATTCAGATTGTTGTCCATGCCTCAGTAGTGCCTCTGACAAGGTACGGAACAATGGCTCGTCCGTCATGAAACCAAGATGTAGGCACACCGCCCACAACTCACTAAAATGAACAGCAACTGATGTCCATGAGGAAGCATGGCACTCCCCCACTCAAAATGCCACAATATGCCTTCCATGTAATGGCTCATGCATCTGTCCCCGCATGAGCACAGCGACCAATGCATCTGCCCCCGCAAGGGCGCTACTTTGGGGTCATTGGAATGGGGATACGATGAATGGCATCTTACCGGGCCTGATGTGTATGTTTGCTTGCTTGTACCTGAGTGGAAGTGCCTAGGGACCACACCCTACGATGTGCTACTTGTCGTGATGACCGCTTCAACTGGCCAAGGTAGGCCAGGACAAGCCTTATGTGTGCTTGGAGGCTAGGAGTTTCCCGATGAGATGGCTCCACCAAGGTCAGTAGCATTGGATCATGACCTCAAGTCGCATGGCCGGGGCACCTGTGTGCCATGACGAACACAGGCTAAAGGGGAAAGGCCATGATGTGAGGCAACTGGGCGCCGATGTGATGGGTCTTCTGTGTGCCGATGATGTGGGCACCTGTGTGCCATGATGAAAGGCAACCGCTGGGCCGGAACACACCCGTGCGCTATGGGCAACGGGGTAGCTCACTCAACTTGGGCAAGGGGCTGGCGGGGTGAAGGGTCATGCTTGAGCCAGGCCCACATGCCAATGAGTATTGGCAGTACAGTGCCGGTCCATGCACTGTCCCCATGAGGATGTGTGCCCCCATGAGGAACCCTAGTAGCTATGCTAGCCTTAACTAGGGTCGCCCCGCAAGGGATGTTGGTCTAAGAGTGCCAAGGTTAGGCACCCAAGGAGGTTGACCACCCCTCATCAAAGAGTACGTTAAGCTTTTGGAGGTCTACCTGAAGATAACATCACTTCTTCCAAAAATCTTACAAGCAAAAATGACGATGGTGTCCCTTAACGTAAGCCTGCCAAGCGTAGGAAAGGCTAAGCCTGTGTCAAACCGTGACACGAGTGTGGCTAGAGTTCTCACTTGCGGTTAGGGCTCTTGTGATCTTGTGATCTCGTCTTGCATACGAATGACAGAAGATCAAGGCCCTCTAGCGAAAAGAAAAGAAGCTTTCTGATTTTGGCCCATTTGAGCTTTTGGGAGATTCTCGGGCCGCACGGGTCTTCTTATCTTTTCGTCTTTCGTACCATGGGGTTAGTGGCAAAGATTCCCTTTATTTCGACTATGATACTAAAAAGATATGATATCTGAAAAACTTTTGACCAATCAAGTAAAATTATAAACATGGTAGTCAATCAGGTGTTATTTATCAAAATTCATGAATAGGTTTTGATTGGTCAAAGCTCTTCCCATACCATATTTTTTCCGCATCATAGATTTTCTCTTTTTTTTGTGATAAAAACCTCTTGTACTTTGTGATAAAAAAATCATCTAATTGTTTAAAATTTTTTAAATACCCAAATTATTCTTTACTAATTTATTTTTCTTTAATTTATGAAATTATCTAACAATTTGTATTGTTCATCTCTGAGTCACCCACATGGAAGAGACGGAAACAAATAAGCTCAACAACCCATTTATATCATGGTTCTCAAAACCGGATCGGACCGAAAAAACCGGGAACTGGTCACCTAACCAGTTATGTTTTTCTCCAAAACCGTTGATTTTGATTAGCAAACCGCTGAACCGGCCAATTAACCATTCGAACCGTTTTAACTGTTTTTCATTTTTTTTTTAAATTTCTTTTTTGTCAGAATGGGCCGGGCTGTCACCAGTAACTGGACCCCTGACCGGTTCAGTTTTAAAAACCATAAACCAAAGGAGTAGTAATCAAGACAATTACCAGTTGGCTTTCTTGCATCAACCAAAGGAGTAGTAATCTTCACTAAAATGATATAGTCTATTTATCAATACCGCAAAAACTACATAGAAAACGGTCAAGCACTGTTAGGATTATAAAATTTACTCGTATGTTCATTGTTATACAGAAATCGGGTTTGGTGTTTATTGTTTTTTACTATTACTAGCAATGGTATGGTGGTATGGCATTGAAAAATGTCTATTGACAACAACAACAAATGGCACAAAAAATTAAAAAAAAAGGAAAAACACGTTTTATAAGAAAACAATACGCCAATGTAGCACTATTTTTTATCAAAAATCAACTCTAAAAAAATAACATTGATTCCAAACACCACCTTAATCGTGAGGTGTTCACCAGTGCGCAAGTTTTAGTTTTTTAAAAACACAAGCAATTGTCCCAAAACAAATCGGTTGTTGCTTCAATACAAAAAAGAAAAGTATGCATATTGGTGAAAATCAAATAAATTAATGAGAATTTAAAGGGGCATTTACCATGTGTATTGTTGTGTTTTTGAAAACAAGAAACAAATGCCACATTAGTGAAAACAATGTAATTTTTTGAAGTGGCACTTTTTTTTTTTTTTTTTTTCTCTTCAATAACCAAACCAAATACACCAGTTAAAACTCTATAAACTGGGGAAAAAATTCAAAATTTTTGGGTAAAAATAATCAAATCAAAGCTATTGAATATTTGGAGCCCTTAAATCACACCCAAGAAAACAAAAGAAACACCGAATATTTGGTTTGATTAACCAAACACAGTCTAATAAATAAAAACCACCGAAAAACGGAACGGGTATCACCGCATCAGGTGAGAATGGCGGTGGAGAGAGACAACCCAAGGAGGAAAGGATTTCGCGTCGAGTCGAGGTGGATACAACCTTAAGAAGAAAAAGGAATTCTGAATTTCTGATGACAGTGGAGATTCGTAGTAGAGTAGAGGTAGAGTGCACTCGAACTATGGAGATTGGAGACTGCCAGACTGGATTCTATTTTCGCACGGGGGAAAATAGTGATCGTGTATTTTAACAGGTGTCTCTCTCCGAATGGAAGAACATGAAAGGGATACATTCTGGTGTGGATAAGCCATAGAAGATCACTGCCCAGGGACCATGGGATTGATTACAATACGTGGTAATGAAGCAAGTCCTTATTTGATGGACGGTTTAGATTAGTCATGAAATCCATCAACGTGGCGGAGATGGGTTGTTTAAACTTTGATGGGATTAGTAAACTCTTTTCCCTTGTTTGAAAGTAAATAGGGAAGTTCTTTGCTTTATATTTATTGCTGTAAATCGACTTCAGAATTTCCACAGCAGAAACCACCAAGTAGCGGGAATTGTCCGGCAACCCTAGAAGCTAGAAGTAACTCTTTCCTCTCCACCCAGCTCTACCAATATGGCATCCCTGGACACTGATATCAACATGATTCCGGTCGGCGAGGGCTCCAGTGGAGCTGGTCCATCGTCTTCGTCGTCGACGAAGAAGCCGAAGCGTTTCGAGATCAAGAAGTGGAATGCAGTCGCTCTTTGGGCATGGGGTATGGAATACATTATGCATCTAATCATATTTCCGTGTCGTCTCTCTTTTCCCCCATTTTTTTTTTCTGATTTATATGCATCGTATAGAAACTCGAAATTTGTTACCCCGTTTTGATAATCCTTCTCTCCTTGTTAGGGTTAGGGTTTTAAGTTTGTTGGGTTCTTGCTCTTTTTCACCTTAATCTACTGTTTACCTTTCTCTTTCGTGGGTGTAGATATCGTCGTGGATAACTGTGCTATTTGCAGGAACCACATCATGGATCTATGTGAGCAGCCCTGAATCTATTTCTCCTTTGCTCCTTTTAGTTTTTTTCCCCTTTATTTCGGTACCATTCTCCTTTTTTCTTTTTTATTTAAATAAAATTTGTGATATTTTTAACTTCGCTAGTTTTGTTCGATTGATCAGGTATCGAGTGCCAAGCTAATCAAGCGAGCGCAACAAGCGAGGAGTGCACGGTGGCTTGGGGTATGCATGCTTTTTAAATTCTAGCCTGCAAATATGCTCTATTAGTTTTGGTTCATTGGTTCTTAGTTCCCATATCAGGTTTTGCACCCTTAACACTTGTATATTAACACCCCTCATAGGGAAGAGTTCACGCAGGAAAAAATTCAGAGTTCTTATCCTTCTATAATAAAAAATGGAGATGATTCCTTTGTTGCACTTGGATTGGGGGCATTAGTTTTATTACAGAATGCCTCCCTATCTGACCCATTCTATCTCTCCTTCGTTAGGATACAATCAAGGTTCTGTGACCTTGCATTTCGTTGTTTGAATCGGTAATTTACTACATTGTAGGTTGTAGTTATGATTTTCAATTTTGAACATTTAATCCGTTCATGACTTGAACCTACAAGGATTACAACTTCTGTCTTAATAACACGACAACCTAACCAATTAAGCTAATAGGACTTTACTTCTTAAAGAATTTGGACTTGCATATAGCTATATAATAAGTATAGTTTAATAAAATTTTCAGTTATCTATAAAAAAGTACAATAAGCATGGTTGTTAAAGCATTGCCTAGATGGGAAGGTGCCCCTGATGGTGCCCCTTGCCTAAATACCATGGGCCCATGGCTTTTGTAAAAAATGGCAATGTCTAGTTGACCAGGCATTGGGTGTTTTGCTGATGAGCCAATTGTTTAGTTGGTTACTTGACATCCCTCTGTTTGATGAGGCGTGGGTTCAAGCCTTGGGAATTTAAGGCTCTTTGCCATAGTTGTCAAGGCTTCTAGGTGATAGTGGGGCGCTTTGTAGCTCTAGTTGCCTAGGTGTAAGAATTTTATAAAACAAAGAACTAAATTTTGGCTAGGTCTGTAGTTTTGTATACCATTGAGCATGCATATTAATTGTACTGTTGCCTAGAACCACTCGGTTGCATTGGTAACTATGAATGGTTTTAAGTTGTAATTTTTTTATAGGTGGTTCCTCACTTTGCTGACGCGTGTCTCTTCTTGCTCCTTAGACTCTAGCAGTCTTTTTTTGTTTTAGTTATGCTTCTTGCTTCCAAAATACTGGTTAGGGATCAATAACAGGTTTTCCTATTTTTGTGTGTGTCTTTTGAGTTGTTTTCTTCCCTTCTAATGAAAGAGAATAGGGATATACTAGAAAATTAACCCAACTGAAGATCAAGGAACCTCCTTTTTTCCTTTTCCATTGGTGGCAATTGAAACTTGATTAGTTGATTTGAACATTGAAAAAAATTCCTATATCAGAAAATGTTAAATTTTGGGCATATATTGACATAAAAAAGTTACTACTTGGAGCATCTGTTCGATAAACAATGGTTATGCTATATCAAAGAGAAGTCTTCACTGATCCCTTTGACGAAGCCCAAAAGGGGCATCTTAGGCAGGTATTTAGATAATTTGCATGCTGATTATGCTTGCTTTGGTTCAGAATCATTATCACTTGCATTAGATGATGTTTCTGTTTGGAAGATATATTCTTTCTTGGTCAAATTAGAATAGATTGTTGTATATTGTTGTTTGAATTGGCATTCTATTGAATGCCATAAAGAGTTTTATATCCAGGTTGAACTTTTGATTGATGGAGCTATCTCTTGTAACTGGGATTTGGTCCTAGAATGTAAGCATGTTTCAATTGCTTGACTGCCAAGCAAGTCCCTTAAGGTGAAGCATACTTAATGCAGCTGTCGATAAAAAAGCATAATTAATGCTGTATCGTCTGCATTTGTTGCAAGTTGTTTACTTGGAGTAAGGTTGCAATGTACTTATAAATGTCTGAAATACATCTAGATCATATTAGGTATTATCCATGTTGACATGTGCCATATTTTTAATTTCATACTGTTTTATATTAGAAAACACTAAAAAAAGTCAATGGTGAGTTTTTCACGCAACAAAAACATCACATAATCTATGCTATATATTATAGCAGAGAGATCATTATGTGGCTCTCCCTATTGTAACAATATTTCTCAAAAAATTTCTAAAATTCACTTCGCTTTTGAGATAGCTGTGTCTTAATTTTCCATTTTGCTTCATATTTTGTTTTTCTTCTTTATCCTTTTTTTCTAGCACATAACCACTCACTACATTCCTTCTCTTCTTATTTGCTTTAAATTCCTAAAACTCCTACTTTCTCTCTTCCATTCCCTTTTTCCTTGTTGAAAATTGTTTTCCTTTCTATCCATTCTCTTCCACCCATAATACCTTATCTTTTGTATCGGAATTGTTTATTATCCATCCAGTTGTTATGCACCTGTGCACAGATGTATTGCCTCTCTTGGTAGTTATTTTCGTAAGAAAATAAACCTTTGATCATAAATCCCAATTTTCCATATCTGATATGTTGAGGAGCAAATAATGTGATTGCTTTCCCTGATAAAGCAGTTACTTAATGTGTTAGTATTATTCTATTCTTGATCAGATGCACCATACCAAATAATATGATATATACCAAAATGGGGAAAAAGGAAAAAGAATCTTTGAAACATGATGAATTGCATCTTGCACTTTTCCTTGATATTATTTCTTTTGTTTCCTTTTTCTTCTTATATGTTTTCATGTCAAAAGTGGGAATATGAGCTGGCTTGTTGATAGAAAGTGGTTTGATAAGCATTCTTGGTTTTTGAGATGGCTGTCTCGGAAGATGGATGGATACTTGTGTCATTTACATGTAAATAATAATCAGCGATAAGCAAAATATTATCAAATGCCTTCTGATATTACTTTATTGCATATGGATTTTATATACTTCATATTATATTAGAAATATACTATACTTAAGCTATTATATAGTTTGTTTGCGGTTTGCACAAGTCACCAGGATATTGATTTAAGTGTTTTTGTAGTCACATGGGCACCAAGCTGGTCTATCATCTAAGCTCTCATAGGTACTGGGACAATTTTAGCTGTGTTTGAGATCTTGTTCTCTCAGCATACAATCTTTCATCCATGTCTAGAAATTATAGTGCCCCATTGTCTGACATACTGTTTTTGGCCAAGGATTTCGTAGCTTATTGGGAGCTAATGCCTGTTAAAGAGGAAAATAATATCTAGATGAGATTAGTATTTTGATTGGTCTTTCTGTTGCCAAAGACTACTTGCCTAGGGCTCCTTGGCAAGTTTGTTTTGGTTGATCTCTTTGTCGGGCCTTTTGCATATCTTTTTTTTGGTATCTATGCCAGTGGTGTCAAACCCTGGCAAACCTGAAAAGGTGGCTGTGTCATGGGAGTAAAATCTCATAGTGTTTGGTTCATTTGTAATATTCTTTGTTGCCAATCTCTTTAATATCCACAGACGATTTGAATTTGATATTGTTGGGGACTGTAACAAGATCCTTATTAACTGGAAGTAGGTCAGAATAAGGAAAATAAGGTGATTTGGATTTATTGTGTCAAACTAAGAATTTCATTGTTTAATTTGAGGGTTCATAATGTAAGATTTCTCTAACCGATTGATCAAATTATCCATGACATCACAAATAAAGATTTAAAATATTTTTGTTAAAGTTTAAACATGATAAAGTTGTAGGTCTGTGTTCTGTTTGCTTTTAGTGGTATTTGAGAAGGTTGGCTGCAGATAAATGAGGATACTTTCGTGTGAGTGTGATGCTATGACCTTTCATTTATCTGACTTTGTTGATACTGTGTGTGTGGACTGTGTTGCCTTGTTATCCGCTATAAGCATATGACTTTAAGATGCTTGTTTTTGATTTAGACTGTTATGTGAACTTGTTTAGGCTGTTCAAGTTGATGTTTTATATTATTTCTACACTCCTTATGATTCATCAAAGCCCAGGACCAAAATCCGCTGTACCTGATACGTTTGTATTATCCTGGGGCTTTTAGGCCAATGTGTTGGTTGTTTACACTTCATCAACTCCGCTTCACATGTAGCTTTTTTATGTTGGGAGTATTTTCTCCCACTTTATCCAAGTTCACTATTGTTTGTTATCTTTTAGTCTCTCTGATCTAAACAAATCATTTTTTTTTTGTGTGGGGTATAGGTGTATGCAACCATGCGTTCCACTTCCATTGCATCAGCCGATGGCTCAAAACCCGTCAAGTTTGCCCACTGGGTAATTTATTTATTTTGGACATCTCCTCCTCTATATTCATATCCGTGTTCGGCTCTGCGGATGGATCCTGTTTCACAATATTGTCTTGTATATTTTTTTGCAGATAACAGCGAGTGGGAATTTCAGAAGTATGGCCACTAGGATCAACCAGGCGTACTGGAAGTTGGGCCTGTATCATGATATGTTTGTTATTAGCTGGATGGAAGTAGAAAAGAAAAACCAGAATAGGGATATGATAAATCACTCCTTGATCCCATCTTTCTATTTTGGTGTAATGTTAAAAATCTTTGAGAATCTCTGGCCCTGGACAGTACAGAGCTAGTAGTGCTCTTTGTGCAGTTTCCAATTCATTTTCGATGGGATGATCATGATGAAAACTGCAGAATTTATTTCTCTTTAAACTGCTGTTAATTACTTTATAATTGTTATTTTTGTGCAAGAGGAGTGCTTACTGCCTAGCTATATTTACTTGAATCACTGATGCCGCCGATTCTTTCATAAATTTTTGCTCGATGGAATAGTCTTTTCTGGACTCTCTTTAGAGATAGACCTTATCTCTATACCTACATCCAAACCCAAATTCGACCCATGTCACGCCTCCTCACTGCGAACAAGGTCCAAAGGCAACTCATTACTCCATTTTTATCGTCATCGACATTGTGTGGTTAGCTATGTGGATTTTATTAGTCTCAGTTCGGAAGGAGTACAAAACTACAAATACAATTCTAATATGTAAAGTGCAAATACATACTTATTCCAAACTGAGACTTAGGTGCTAACGAACTTTTGGTTATGCTTAAAAATTGTGGGAGCTCTATTTGGTGCACTTGCTACCAAGTAGCATTATATTATAGTCGTTTATGAGCATATGCTTAGATAAAAGTGAGATTCGAATGTTTTTTTTTTTTAATTTTCACTTTTAATTTACCTCTGTAATTATTAAATTGATATCGATACCGATATTTTTAGCCTTTTGGAGGAAAGAGGCAATTATTTGTTGTTCTTGCTACGGGATATGACCATTGGAAAGGTTTACAATTTTAATCCAATATATTGGGCCACTGGGTTCTGTTTGGTTGTCAAGAAGGGGTGTTAAAAAAAAGTGAACATTTTTAGTAGTTCTCATTTTGCTAGTTTTGTGGTGCAAGAGAGAAACGCTGCAGTTTTAAAATCCCAAAATGAGGAGGGATGAGGAATCTCACTAAAATGATGCGATTTTGATGAGGTTCATTAGAATAGAAAATAATGGATTTTCACCCGACTGGTTTGGGTTTGGGATTTTTGCGTGCTGTACTTCCTCACTCTTGCGACCTTCCGAAGAAGACAACAAAATGGTTTTCTAATTTCGATTTTATAAAATCGGATTTTTTGATGTTTATTAGCTCATAAAATCGGATTGGATTAGTATTGACAATAAATTTCTAATTTCGATTTTATATTTGAATTTTCATCTCCACTTTTAGGATTTATATGCTTTTTTAATTTTTCAAATTCACTTTTATTGTTTCATATGGTTTATATAATAAGAAGAATAATGAAAAACAAAAATAAAAAGACATAACGTCGCCTGAGAGATTCGAACTCTCGCGGGGAAACCCCATGTACTTAGCAGGCACACGCCTTAACCACTCGGCCAAAGCGACGCGTCACGGTATGTGTAAGCTTAATCTCTAATTCAATTATAATTAAGACAATCGTTACTCGCCCATCGCCAGTGCCACCTCGCGTCGCCTAATAATCGAGGCCCGCCTCTTTTGTGGCCGCGAAACCACATTCCGACCGTGATGGCAACAGTGCAGATGATTGGAAATCTGAGTGCGCACGATCGTCGAATTCTGACGTCCGTGAACGCGGGGGCCTCGATTCTTTCATTTACTGGCTCCTCTTTCATCGTTCTCTGCTACGTCCTCTTCAAGGAGCTTCGCAAATTTTCTTTTAAGCTTGTCTTCTTCCTTGCTCTCTCAGTAAGTCTTCTCCCCATACCATCATCTTAAATACCATTTCTAGTGCAAATCGTAGTATATGTCTTTAAGTTCTGTCGCTGGATCTCGTCTTTAATTCGAAATTTGATCCAATTTTCCTTACTTTTTTTCGATACTTGAAGCTTAAGTCGATCACTTCTTCCTCTACTATGACTTAGGGCTACACTATATGTTCTAGTTGAGCTGTATAAACTGCATTGGTTTTTGGTTAAGACGCATATCTATATTTGGTTGTAATTTAATGCATAAAATTTTCGGAGCTGGCTGTTGAGAAGCGTTATCAGGTGGTATTACATATTCGAGTTCGTGAAGACTAGGGATTACTGCACATTATTTCCATTACTGATCCTAACTGCAAAATTCACAATATGAAATCTGAATTCCAAGTATTCCGAGGCTCCGTTTGGTTGCTCGTAGAATGAAGGAAAACAAATGATTTCTGGAAAATGCTATTTTACGTTGTTTAGTTGCAACTTGCAAGTAAAAGACAATAGTAAAAAAAGTTTTCCAAAAATCTAGTGTTTGTTATAGGAAAATGAGAGTTGGTCTCTAGAATCTAGATTCAAACCTTGCGGCTTTCTCAACCACTACGGTATATTTTCTGAGTTAAACAGAAAAAAGTAGGAGAGTTGTGTATTTTCCTGCTGAGTATCGTTCTTCTTTTGTTCTACGTGCAACCAAACCAGTGTTTTAAAAGCGAGAAGCTCAACCAAAGCACAACGGATTCATGGAACCTGAGGCACAAGTCAAGGTACATACCTGAATGAAGTGAGATGCCACCTATGAAAAAATTAAAGAAAAATGTGATTTATTATAACAATATGCAAATGTAAATTTTAAAAGAAAATTTGGTTCTGTCGGTTCAATTTTTTTTTTTTTTTGGGCGGGGGGGCAGAATGTTAGTTCATTTGGTTAGTGAATCTATTTTATTAACACAACGGTTTTATGAGGTTTACATATGTTAAATCATTTAAACTCTAAAGAGCATAGCTACAGCCTATACTAGCATATTGCCTATTTAAATATCAAATTCAAGATCGTTAGAACTACAGCAACACACCAGGTGAAGTGCACCTCAGGCGTGGCTCTTAAAATGCTAAAACAAAAGCAGCCTTGATGCATTTGAATTGGAAAGAAGAAATTGTGTCAGAAACAAACAATGGATTAGCTTTCAAGTTAAATTTTATTAATGTAATACATTTTAGGCAGACGATGATGTAAGGCTTGGTAAGTCATATATATTCTTGTTAGGACATGTGCACTTTGGTGGGGATAGTGAAATAGCAATCAACTCAACAAATTCCTATGTATGGTGGCATGTATCTGTGTGCACCATTTCTAGTCGTAGGAAATTGCAAAACCTTCTTTGACTTTCACATCTTAGACAAATAAGAGATTTGGTGTTAACTAGGTATGTGGCATGGGTGCCTAGTATTACTCAGGCCTGAAGATATATAGATAAAACTTAAACCATGTAATAACTTAAAATTATGAAAAGAATGAGAAAACTAAAGAAAACATTTTAAACTCTTAAGTGTTGATTCCTTATTGGATGTGTAGTTTTCTCATGATATAATTATTTATGACAATGATTTAAAAGGCATGCCTCAGGTGTGCTTAGGTGCATATGTGGGGTACATTTGAAGATTTGTGCCTCACCTAGGCTCAGACCCAACCCCTTTGAAGACGCACCTTTGTTAAATTTTGTGCTTTTTTGTGCCATTTGAAGCATGGTGGCTAGGCCAGGTGCTCTGCCCCCAGACCCCCAACCAAGCCCCTTGATGTAAGCCCAAACAAGTCAATATTTGGCACAAGTCCATACAAAGAAATGAATTTATAATTTTAATTATGGTTCCATATCTTTTAAAAAATGTCTTGTATTAAGAACCCCTTTTTTGCTGATGTTATTCATCCATTCTTCTTAATACAAGACATTTTTTTTTTAATAAGGAACCATAGTTAAAATTATAAAACCATTCTTTTTGTGTGGATTAAGAATTTATGACCCTAACATGAACTTGTTTGGACTTGTTTCAAGGGGCTTGGTAGTTGGTAAAAAAAGCAACTCGTAGAATTAGGAATGAAAGATGTTTAACATCATGTTAACTATTTGAAATAATTCGATTGGGAAAGAAATAAAGAGATTGGAGTTTTTATTTGTTAGTTAGTTTTTTTTTGCATTTTTCACTTTTAATATGTTATATATGTTTATGTATTTTAACTTGAGCTATTAGACATTTAGTTTAAATTTAAAATTTGATTTTTAATTAATATTATTTTTTAATATTTTCTTGATTTATCTTGATTTTTTAAACTTTTTTTTTTTCGCATTTTGATTTTTTTTTTTAAATTTGTGCCTTGCTTCAAAAAAGTGCATGCTTCGCCTTGCGCCTTGGGCGCAGAAAGCCCTTTGGGCTTTTTTTTTTGCAGCTTGCACTTTTAAAGCATTGATTTAGGAGTGCTAAGAGTTGAATAAATTTTATTTCTTTCTTTTTGGTTTAGTTCAGTTGTATCATTAAGATCCTATAAGAAGTGTCATCTCAAGTGTCTAGTATCAGCAGTTCTAGACCCATTAGTTTTGAAAGATTGGTGTAAGACTTTATGAACTAAAATGTTACAAAGTCCCTATAAAAGTGCTCTAATCTCCATGTTGTTGAAGTTTCAGGGGAATTTGAACTAAAAACAGCCTGTAGGTTTTTCCCTGTTTGCAATGCTTGCAAGCCTAGGACTGGGAAACACTAATAGTTCCATGGACCACCAATTCACTTTACTCGGAAAAGGAGAATCTCGGTTCTACTCTACTAAAAAATCTTGAATTGGAAATAATACTTCAAAGCAATATATTTTCAGCAACCATATAGAGAACAAGTTTTTTTGGTTGATTTACAGTAATATTTATATCAAAATAAAAAAAGTGGGGACTATAAAGAAGTGAGGTACAGCTAGTGGAATGAAACAGAGAAAGTGGGGCTTAAATTGCTATCAGATAGTTAGACTCTTCCTATGATATAATTACACCTATCATCCTGATCTTGCAAGGTGATTTGCAATTTGTTTTGTCTACTTGGTGCAGCAAAGAATAAGATGTTTATCAAGAGAGCCACAAGTATTATTTCTTTAACAAAATAGTCTCCATTGTCCTTTAGTAGCCGATTAATGGGAGAGCAGTTATCCCATCTTTAAAACTTGTTTGGTCAATTTAGCCCACATGGATGTTTTAGACAGATAGATAAATAATATTTGATTGCATTAATTTGTGTATGAAGTTATTTGTGTCATTCTTGTTTAGATGCTGGTGATATTTATTACCCCTTGTTTATGGATTCTGGCAACTATTTTCAATTAATGTTTCAAATTATCTTCTACATGCATACATGCTTACTTTTATGCACAATTTCAGGCATTTCACTCGGTAGAAGCCTTTTAACTGGACGTAGCCCCTGTTTGGGAGTGCTTTTTGGATAAATAAGTGCTTATCCTAATAAGCACATACGAGTGTTTGGTGAAAAAGCGCTTCTTTCAAATGGGGGGTAGCATATGTATTTTGAAAATTACGTGGCGGGTGAAGGTGGGCCAGAAAGGCAATATGCACTTTTTTCAAAAAGTACTTGAAAAAAGCAAAAATATGTAGCTTTTATTCAAAATGGGCTTATTTCCTGAAAAAACAACTTAATTGGGCTTATCTTCGAAATGCATATAAGTGCTTATTGGTATGGTCCCAGCCCAAAATAAGCACTTTTCCGATAAGTGCTTAATAAAAACTCCCAAATGGGGGCCTAATATTTAAGGCACCCACCAGACAAAACCTTTGTTGCTACAGAGGAATGTGACTCAAGTTTTGTAAGAAAAGTTTGTATATTATGAAACTAATGGATCTGGTCCTAATTTGTACTAGATATGAGATGATATTGATAGCAAATATGAATCTAAGTTGTGGAGATTCCTTTCAAACATTTCATGACCTGAATTTTGTTTTTGTTCATCTCCCTGCAGTTTTTTGTCAAACACTTTGAACTCATAAAATCTTGTGCTAGCATCTGGATTGTTGGTGTTTCTTCCTTTACTTCTGATATGGTATATTTCTTTGCAGGATATGCTTTGCAGCTTCTTCAGCATAGTTGGGTAGGCTTTCTAGAGTCAAGCCAAGTTATTGTCTTCTTAAGCACTGGATTTGGTGGAATGATTCTGAGTTTGATAAATATATTACAGTAACTTAATGAACAAGGTCCCTCTGAATTCCTTATATTTCTGCTGACATATGCAATCTCATTTCCCCTTTGTTGATGCAGGGACCCATCAAAAGGGTTCTTTTGTTATGCTCAAGGCTACAGTACACATTTCTTTTGTGTGGCATCATTTCTATGGACCACAACAATTGCATTTACTCTTCATCGCACTGTTGTTAGACATAAAACTGATGTTGAGGATTTGGAACCCATGTTTCACTTGTATGTTTGGGGTATGCACTTACAAACTTATTGTTTTTTCCTCGAAACCTATTTTCCTCATTGGTTACTTGTTTCCTAGATAGCCAATTAGTTGATTTGTCTTGAAGTGTAATGGATGCCATTATACTATTTGAGTCATTTGGATTTGTCATGCTTGATATAGCTGACCCCATATAGTTGAAGTAAGTTTTAGATGGTAGTGATATGATGTGTCATGCTTTTGAGTGTAGTTATGGCATCAAGAATTGACTTGGACATTTAATTCATTGTTTCAGGAACTTCTCTTGTTATGACTGTCATACGCTCTATAGGCAATGATACTGGACGCTTAGGTGCATTGTGTTGGACTCAAACAGGACGTGCAGGAAAGGCATGTGTAGAGTGTAATCTCTAGATGCAGAATCTCAACTCAACTTAGCCTTAACCCCAACTATTTGGGGTTGGCTAATCTCTAGCTGCAGCATGCTTACTGTAATACCAAGTAGTGCACCCCTGTCCTCCCACCCAAAAATAAATAAATAAATAAAAATACAAGAAAGAAAAAAACCAGCCCTGACAGAAAATGGAGAAAAACAATAAAAAAGAAGGGCTGCTGGCAATGTTGATCTAGGGAGTACAAGATGTGTTAATTTTCTTTCTATGTCATGGACTGTGTTGATGGATTTAAGAAAATATGCTTTATTGATCAATGGTTATGCAAACCTAATGTTATTTGGATTTGCAGTTCTCCATGGCAGTTGACAGAGTTGGTGTTTATTTATGTTATCTTTTGCCAAGTCATTTTCTACATGTCTAATTGACTATGTAGTTTTAGCTGCAGGTGGTTCACTTCATAACATTTTATGTTCCACTCTGGGGTGCAATTCTTTTCAATGGTGTTACATACTTCCAAGTCATACGTATGCTGAACAATGCAACCCGTGTATGTAATTGTTTATCCATATTAATTAGAAAATGAGAATACTGAATGAATATTTAAGGATGTAAGAGAAGTTTTAGCATTTCAACAGTCTTGGTGCAATATATTACCTGGTTTACCATTTTACACAATGTTTGTGAACCAGATGGCAGTCGTCATGTCAGACAGATCACTTCAATCTGATGCCAGAGTTGACATGAAGGTATTTTCCACCTTTTTTTTCTTTTTCTTGTACTTTTTGTTGAATAAGAAGTATTATATCATTAATAGTCCTTGGCTATGAGAGGTTTTCCTCCAAGGAGCTTGACTATTAAATCTTTATACATGAAGGGACATAAAAATGGTTCTTGTTCTCTTTTTTTTTTTCTTCTATGATTGTGCAACATTACTTTTAGCTTGAGTTATGTTTCTTTCATTGTAATCTCTTATGTCCAAATTACATGTCATCTACAGTTTTTACAATGTCCTGTAGGATTTATGGTTAATACTGTGATGAAGATAGAATTGGGAATATTTCAATTAATGCTGATTAGAATATAATTTACAAATCTGGGAAGTCAGGTATGGCCATATGGGTGGGGTGTATGGAGATGGAAAAGGAACTGTTCTTGCCAATATAATCTGGAACTGCCAAATACAGGGACTCCATTAGAGCAGAACTGCTTGCTGTATTGCAAAGACTGAAGTTGGGAAAATCCTTAGGGTTAAAAGGAAAAAATAATATAATCATGGAAGGGGACTCAAAGATGATTGTGGTTTGGATAGAAGGCAATGGCCAAGGTCTATGGCAGCATTGGCATGTTATGAGGGAGATAAAACATCTGGCAGTGAAGATGGAATCTACATTTTCTTGGGTGCAAACTGCAAGGATCAACACATAGCTTGGTTGGTGCATTAGCCAAACACAGGGAACTGTTGCTTTGGGCACAAATGTAATGTAAATAACAGGGTTGTGGAGGCAAGGCATTTGGGTAGTCCACAGTTTGTGAGATGCTTGACATACTACTCATACCTCATTTAAAAAAAAAAAATCTAATAGTGTTAAGCAGTTATCAATTAAAATAGAAAAGAATAAACTTACAAATTAGAACAACTTTTAGTTTCTTATAGCATGGTTGATGCTGCTAAGAAACAGTGTTCATACTGGTTCTGTTCAAAGTGCCACTGGAAACCATGATAATTAAAGCAAGTGCCTCTTTTCCTTCAAGGCAATGGTTGGATGTGTGTCCTTTATATGTCACAGTGAATAAAGTGTTAGATGGTCCCATGTAAAATCATGTGTTCCATCAGGTACTTAGTTATCAAATATGATCTTCTAGATAATTCTTGCATTAATACCTTTTTTTTCTTTGGTGTATGTAGTAAATACTTTCTTTCCTTCCCTCTTCAACTCTTTTTATCCACGATAGAATTAAAGAGTGGATTAGCCAAAGGTCAAAGTTTATTAGAATCTTGTTCTGAAAATCCTGAAAAATTACCTTTTTCTTTTTCCACTACATTCAAATAATACAAAATAAGAGGGATTTTTCAGAGCAAGCTCAAATGCTCAAGAGATAAAGAAGGATGTGAGCTTTTTGTACTTTGCATTTTTTTTTCTTTCTCTCTTTTCCCTTTTGTGAATCATTCACAATAGTTGTTGGTAGAGAGACCTGAACTGTGAGAGCCAATGTAGTTCACCCAATGTGTGGATGTCCTCATACATATAAATTGAAAGATCTATTAGAGATGAAGATCTCTAATATAGAAATTATCATTCTTTGTTGCAGCCTTTCTTGTTTTGGAGGGTGGGTATGGGTCAAATATTTGGTTTGGGAGGATGAATGGGTAGAGATGAGGAAACTTTGTGATCTATGTCCAAGACTGTATAGTTTGAGCAGGAAGGGGGTGGAAATTTCCCAATGTTATGAGGTGAGGCAGGGGGAAGTGGTGTGGTGCCCTACCTTTTGAAGACCTTTGCTGGATTGGGAAGCGGAAGAATGTGCCGGGCTGTTGGCTAAACTGCAAGATGTGGAAATTGACTCAGGGGTGGAGATGTAAAGTGATTGAAGGAATGCAAGAATGGTAAGTTTTTGGTTAGGTCTTTTACAAGGCCTTGGCAAGAAATCAGGTAGAAAGTACTTCAGTCAAGGGTGTTTGGGGGGGGGGGGGAGGGAATCCAATCCCTCCAGGAGTGGAGGATTTCGTGTGGTTGGTGTCAATGAACGGCATTCTCGCTCAAGATAAGATGAAGAAAAGATGTTTTCACATGACAAATAGATGTGTGCTTTGTCTTTTAGAGGAAGAAAATATTTTACATTTGTTGGCGAGTTGCAGTTTTTCAAAAGGTATTTGGGGTTATTTCTTCCGACTCTTAAGTCTTAAAGATGGAATGGTGGTCATCTAGTGTGCCTAAGGAGATTTTTGAGCTTTGGCCATTGCTCAATGGAGACATTAAAGCAAAGATTTTTTGGAGCTGCAACCCATTTGCAGTATGTTGGGAAGTTTGAAAAGAAAGAAATAGAAGAACTTTTGAAGAAAAAATGAAGAGCAAGGAGTTTTTAGGTGCAATCATTGGGGCAAAACTTATGGATTGGGTGCTGATTCTTCCAGAATTTGAAGGTTTTAAAAGAGAATTTTGGATTGAATTTTTGGATCACTATGAATTTTATTTGATGTAATATGTTCTAAAGATCTGTGTGGATGTCTTTTGCTTTTAGTGTTATTGTGCATTGGTTGGGTGATACCTTGTCACTTGGATTTCTTGTAATTTGTTTTATATTTAATGAATTTTCTTCTTTATTTACCTTCAAGAAAAAGATTTGCTAGGAAAATAATTACCCATGGAAAATCATATTCTCTTCAACTACCTTTCCAGAGGTCTTCTGTATGCTTTTAAATATAATCTAGTTTGTTATTCTTCTATTTCCTTTTATTTTTCTGATAGCTAGTTAATTTAGTATATCCTACAAAGAGAACATTTCTTGTTGTTTAATGAAACAGTATTCTTTTACATTATTGCTGGCCTTGACCTCTTTCCTTTGTCAGGCTTTAAACCGGTGGGGTTATTATCCACTGATTCTGATAGGATCATGGGCATTTGGAACAATAAATCGTATACATGATTTTATTGAACCAGACCACAAAATATTTTGGCTCTCTGTTCTTGATGTTGGAATGGCTTCACTTATGGTATGTCTCTTTAAGCATATTCGCCTACTACTTTTCTATCTGTTACTCAAAAGTCTTTGGGGTTTCAGCTTAGTTTCTGTGTTGAGGAATTGCTTCATTCTGATCCTATATTGAGTTTAAGAGTGGTGTTTCTTAAGATAATACTCTCTTGTTCTTCTGTTCCTTGCATGTAGGGACAACTAGCTTATAGCACACATTCTTACGAAGAAGATTTCTTTTGACGGTTGGACCAACTGCATGATAAATTGGATAATCCTATCATCCTAAGTTTCCAATTTGATGAACCCTTAGAAGTGAATTTCTCATAATCTTTAGGATTTCAACTTACTTTCTGTGTAGAGGACATCAGTGTGACCCAATATTGAAGAATGGTGTTTCTAAAGAGAATTACTCTCTAGTACCTTTGTGCCTTGCATGTAGGCACATATTTTTATGAAGATTTCTTGGCCAGAATTCATTGTGATTGAACAGTCCTATCATCCTAAGCTTCCAGTTTGATGAGTTCTTAGAAGTGATCCATGAACTGAGGAAACTGGTGCACAAAAGGATTTGTAGAATTTTTTTTTTCTGCTGTCTATTTAAGTTTATCCTTGACCTATCTCTCCCTTGGGAGACATGAAGTTGTAACATGCACCCCTTGTGAAAAAGGGAGGTTAGCTTTGATATGGTCATATGGGGAAAAATAACCAACACTTGAAGCTGTGGACTAGCTAATTGGATCTAATCCTGTCCTAAGGAGGAAGATAGACTGAACCTGCCACTTGATCTGCACTGTTAACTATCCATGTCAAAAAAATGTCCAATTGCTTCTATTTAATATGCTTGTGAACTTATGTGATTATCTATCTGGATATCCAAGGCATGGAAACTTGATGTCCCCTGAGAGAGTTCTGGATAAAAATATCGGTGGCATGTGGGTCTGATGAGAATTTCTAACTTATCTGAGTTTCTTTGGTTGTTAAACATGATAATGCAAATGATTCTGAGAGTGGCCTCTTTGTGGTAAAATGCTGGAGGTTAGATCTGTATGCAATTCACTCCTACCCCTACCAAGACACCTGTAGCTGGGACTGGCATCAAGTAATGACCTGCAGGGTGCATTTAGATTATGGGATTTGGATGGATTGAATTAAGGTTGAAATTCCAATTTAGGAATTTGGATGTGCTCAATTTATATGAATTAGAATTTCTATGGAATTCCAATTTAAACATTTTTAGGAATGCAAATATCCATTCCAAAGGTTTTCTTTTGGCAATTTGATATCCATGAGAGGTAATGGACCTAACCAACATGGCCAACCTGTATTTCCCTTTTCGCTGTTCTTTTAACATGGGCATTTTTCTTGTTAAATTTAGAGCCTTCTCATGGGTGTAGTCCATAAAAGAATCGCATGCTATTGGTTGGTCTTAGTAAAGGTCTTTCTTACTCTTAAAATAAAATATGTATTTAGCATTTAAAATAAACCTCTTTACTTGCTACTATTCAAAGCCACTGAGAATCTAATCAAGAAGTTAGGAAGCTGGACAAAACATCTTTAATATAGAGACGATGGGACTTGGGATGTCTTTTGAATTTCTTGTACCGTTCACAATTATTTTTTTTATAGGTTATATCATTCATAGTGTTGGAGCCATGGACTCCATGATCGTAGTGGTCATGCTTCCAAGGCCTGGAGAGAACGGCAGTGTCCAGAGAAAAGGGGGGGGGGAGGTTGTAGAGAAACCCTAGGGTTAGGGCTCTGGAATGGTGTCTTACGTGGGAGGAAAGTCGTCTGTTCTGGAAGGCTTTGATTCCCTCCTACTTATATAGATAAAAAGGCTAGGGTTTGAGAGAAAAGTTAGGGAGAGAACAAGGAAACTTTCCCTCTGTGGTAAAGTGGTTAAAAATTGTTAGGTACCAAACAAGAGACTTGAGGTTTCGCCACGTGTCTATAAGAATCCCATGGGATCGGGAACTCCCATCGTTAGAGTCCTCATGTGAGCACGTTTATAACTATAGCCTCTTTTAGAAGCTTGCTTGTTGTACGGTGTAATCCCTCTTCCAGGAGCGTTTAAGTATTCGAGAGCAGCATCGCAAGTGTTGCACTGTTACCTTAGTGGGTTCTGTGCATATCGTAGACTTTAGTGTTTCCGTGCTCTGAGTAGATTTTCGGTTCTGATTCTTGGATACACGATCACACCTATGTTCTGATAGTGGACATGTCCTTTATTGTGGGTTCTGTAATGTTTAACTCCATGTACTTATACATGGTTCTTTGAGCAACCAGGAATTTTATTGCAAGGGATAGAACCATAAGTTTATCCAGTAAGGCTGACTGCCTTACCATTGGGAACAGACAAAAGTTCTTACCACCCTATTTTGAGCTTTCTAAATGAATGAAGAGATTTTGGGTGCAGTTACAACTTGGTTGTGTGGTTCCCAAGGCCTAGGAGTTCTTTCTAGGATTAGTTCTAGGGACTTCTGGCTTGTTATTTTGTTATGTGTGCTTCAGAAGTGAATTGGTGGGCTTCAACTAGGGTTAATTTTCATCTTCAACAAGTGGATCGTGCCCTTTTAATTTGCTAACCCTATTCATTGTTTTGCCTTGGGCTAGGTTCAGGCTTGCCCAATTTCTCTACTTCCATCTGTCAAATGTTCTTTTTTTTCTATAATCAAGTGTTGGGGTCAATTTAATTTTTAACATTATCATATATAAAATGATATAATTATCATGCTATAGAAAACTTTTGCCTAACTTATAATTGTTAACATTTTCTTATGAACAATCATTCATATATATAGATGCATCATGCATAGTTACATATATGTATATACACACACACACACACACACACACACAAGCATACATGCATATATAGTACTTACATAAATACTTGTTTATATGATAATTATACATATAAATATTAAGCGAAGTCAGGTTTGGGTTGGATAAAGCATCATATATAAAATGATATAGTTATCATGCTACAGAAAAATTTTGCCTAATTTATAATTGTTAACATTTTCTTATAAACATTCATTCATATAGATAGATGCATCATGCATAGTTACATATATACATACAAGCATACATGCATATATAGTACTTACATAAATACTTGTTTATATGATAATTATGCATATAAATATTAAGCTAAGTCAGGTTTGGGTTGGATAAAGCCTCAACCCTAACCCAATCCAAAATTAAGTCGAGTTCATGCTTTTCAACCCAAACCCTAACCTGAACTTGAACCCATCCCAACCCAAACCAACCCGATTTTTGGGGGTTGGGTTCAGGCTAACCTAACCCAAGTTGCAGCCCTACTTGGAAAGTATCCTAACCAAAATCATCCTCTCTCACAAATCTTTCCAAACCTTGAGAGGAATCAATTTTTTTCTTCACTTGCCTCTTAGATTTTACTAACTTATATTCCATTAATTATATCAACTCTTGACTTTAACTCTCTATGAATTTCTGCATGTTTCAATCCTTAACTTTGGAACTAATCTATAAAACTCAATCCAGTCCATTAAATTCACAAACTTCATCAGCTTTACAGATTCTTTGCAACTGAATCCTAATTTACCTAATCTTTTTTGCTTTTGTTTTCCTGGCTTCCACCTATCAGGTAAACGTTATCATTCTCATATTACCTTTGCTTTGTATTTTGGTCTCTTGAATTTTATCTTTAGTACTTTTTTGAAACAAAATTAAGTGGTTAATGTAATGTCATGCTATGTCATTTTCTTTCATTACTGGTTATATGGTCTATCCATTTGAATAATATATATAGTTAGACCTCGGGCAATTAATTTTTCATTCACATGAACTTGCAAATCATGACATCCTTTCTCATAACTATGCCTGAATTAGCCTAAAAATTACGTGGATTTATTTATTGTTTTGAAAGGCCTTAGGTTTTCTTGTGGTTTAAGCTATTACAGTGCTTTGTCCTTGGGGCACAAACTTGTTTGTTTAGACTACTGTTCTTGCACATACATCTGCGCCTTTGATCTCTTTCTATTCTTTTACCCCTCTCTTCCTCAATAAATTTCTGTTATTAAAANTACTGTTCTTGCACATACATCTGCGCCTTTGATCTCTTTCTATTCTTTTACCCCTCTCTTCCTCAATAAATTTCTGTTATTAAAAACACAAAACTGACCTTTGGGGGGTGGGGGGGGGGTGAGGGATGAACAGAAGGGAGAAAGTTAACTCAACATCTTTGCCTTGATGTTAGTCTATTGTGCATTTGTATATGGAGTTTGCATAGGTATTTTATGGGATATTGTCCCATTAACAATATAATATTCCTAAGGTTAATATGGATAGTGATTATTAATAAATAATATTTCTCTAATTGAAAATTTTCTTTGTAGCCTGTGTACGATGTTATATTATACATGGTTGTCAATCCTGTGCCTCTGGTTTGTTCCATATAGATTGCACAGAAACATTCTTATTAAGAGTGATTTTTGCTGGGTAAATGAATAGGGTTTTCAGAATATGTATTTACGAGTTGAACTGAAATGGTCGATTTATATATCATATTACTCTACTAATTAGCACCATCTTTATGCTCTATATTGTCTGGTAACATTATGCAGATAAACTTACTTAATTGCTTTTGATTTAGGGTTTATTCAACTCAATTGCTTATGGCCTTAACTCTTCAGTGCGACGGGCAATATATGAAAGAATAGATATGTAAGTAAATTAGTGCAGAATATGTTTTCTCTTCATAATCTAATTATCTAAGGTACTGTGAGATCCATTATTGGAGATCTCACCTAGGAGGCCTCTTAAGTTGATTATTATTCCTATTGGATATTTTTGACCGCTGAGAACATCAAATATTCTGGATGGTCATGTTCCTGATTGCCTGTTTGGAAGGGCTTTCACGCAGTGGCTTTTGGCTTTGCTAGATGGGCCCCACATGTATAACCTATAAGCTATGTTTAGTGAAAAACCTGGAAATCCCGAATACACCGTCATTCAGCCAAAAAGTTGGCTTTCTGGTGAAGCTTGTTTTATGTAGCTTCCTCAAGGTGGCTCAGTGGAAGCATCTCAATCAAAGCTTCAGCTCTCCCAAACAAGAACCATGCAACATAGCCGGCCTGTATTGGTAGGTCACGGATATGCTAAATATGGGCTTTTGGGGGTTTTGACCCATTTCAGAGTGCTGGAGGCCTTAGTCCACCCCCTCTGACTAATTTTTGAGAAAAAAAAAAAGCCCTAAAGAGTGTGAACATGACACCCAATTTGCCCATCCAGCTTATCAAGGTGCATTCGAACTTCGCTCCCAAATGGGCCCTTAGAAAGCAGCTCAATCAAAGAGAAGCAAAAGAATTAGCAATTAAAGAACTCCTAGTTCTAATCAGGTTTTATCTGGTAATGCCTTGTAAGTCCAATTGATAATTGGATCAGTTCTGGGTCTATTACTCAGAGACCTTATCTAGGTATTTTCTTATTGGTTCAGGACTGAGTTTGATTGGGACAAGACCCAAACCTGTAATCTACCTATTACCAATTTGGTCCACCCCTTGGTTATGAGTTACCTTGGTGTTTTTTGTTCAAAATCAAATTGCTTGTACAAGTCTTTAGTGAATACTGCATTTTTTTAATCCATTTATGCCTTAATTCAACAAATGGATTGTCAAGTGTATGTTTTTCGAGCTCAATCAAATTGCTTGTAACTAGGTAGGTGTATGTTTTTCGAGCAGATGGTGTCCAGAGAGGTTCCGGAGATGGTTACCAAGTTCTTCAAGGCTCAGAGGCCAACAGCATCAAAGTGAACTGATCTCGTTGAAGATCCAAGATCAACAATAGCACTTAAGTTTCCTTGATATGTTCTCTTGGTAGCTTTGGTTTCTTCTAATATTTTCTCATTTCACCAAACTTGAGGGAGAAGGATGAAGCTGAGAAGCGAAGAGGAAACCAACCCCTATTATTTGAGACAAGTGCGTGAGATTCCAGGTGCCCTCCCCCCTCTTTATTGTTATTATCTGATCTACACTTTTTTTAGTACAGTTTGTTCTCTTTTTCCTAATGTAAACTGCTTCTGTACACGTCGATCTCAACATATGGGATAATGTATACAGATGAAAAATTCAATTGATGGGCAAGTGGTTGGTTAATTTGGAATTCTTTAAGGCAGGGAACCTACTAGCAGTCAACAGTAGCTGAGGTGGCATGTTTGTCAGCTACAGTGAGCATGCTTTTTTGTTGTGCAGAAAAAGAGTGAGTACTTGGTATTATGATTCAAATACTAGCGGTACGATTTATTTGTATATTTCACCAACACTAAACCAGTACTCATGAAATGATTATTCAGTTTGATATTTTTTAGTCTCTTCTGCTCTCTCTCTCTCACACAAATCATATCAAAGACTTGTGGATGTGGTTTTAGAGGACTTTGTTAATTTACTTTGAGCTTACTTCTTGTAGTTTTCCACTTGAATTGAGTTCTGGAGAAATAGGCTAAATTTAAGTTTCCAAGAAGGGCATCTATTTGACTGAACCAGACATGGGGTCAGTCATCTGACAAAATGTGTTTGCTTTTACGGGTTCGAGTTACAGGATTGGGCCTTTACGAAAATAAATTGGGATCTTCTGCCAACAAAACACGTTCCTACCAATACGAAAATATTGGTTGGTCTTAAGTTGGATTATTGAATCTATGGGGATGTAGATGGATTACATGAAAAATGGTGGATCTAAATAAAATCTAGGTTCATTTGGTGTGAATCTCTTGACATGAATTCCAGTCATAAAGTATCAGCATCAAATTTGATGCTTCAGTTGGGCGAGTCATGCGTTCACGGTGCACCCATTGACTATTTCATGGGTACATCGGAAGCCTCATGTATCAAATCTGATGGTGCGCGATCCGGAAGTTTTTAGCTGAAAGGCTACTTGGATGTTGGCCGCTTAGTGAATTGGTTCAAACTGCAAGAAAATGGATCAGAGAATCTGGGGTGGCTAATCCGGCGAGGTCATTCCGATTCTCAAGTTAGTACTGTATTTTGGTAGTGAGTTAAAAGTTTAAATGCAAGTAAGCTAGTGATTAAATAATCGCATGTACCTTGTGCTATGGGGGCTAATGCCCTTATATAGTTGGGCTGTCGTGAGCCTCATGAAACCTCTCCGAGATCCTCAGATCGAGCAGTAGGAGTCCGTTTCACTCCGAAAGGTGGATAACGTATTGGCTGATAAACCTCATTGTGTCTACCCGATTCGGGTGGGATGAGGATAAGATTTACAGGTGTGCAGCGTGATCCCAAAAGGCTCGGAGATAACTGACAAACTTTTAGAATTTGCTACGTGTCACCTCGGCAAATACGGGCATCTGAGATACTCTATCATCGGGGCAATCCAAAGTGACTGGGACACCCGAGGTGACCGATCTGTCGAGGTGGTTGGAAGCGCTGAGTCATCACCTGGTTGGCAAGTTTCGTCCACATGTCCTCTATTCATCAAGTCGGGCCAAATCACCCCTCATCAAAATCCATTATCTTAAATCAAGGAATTTATAAAAATCTCTCAAATATTCTATAACGGGATGGGGAACCAAGTTGCAAGCCTTTTGGCCAATTTGGGCGCATGGTCTTAATATGCATTTGTTAGGACTTAGGAGATCGTTGCTAATGTTGTATTCCAGGATGTATGGGGAGCTACTACCTTGATTGTTTTTCCTTTTTCGGGCTTGGAAGGGCAATGTCGCATCATCCAAGCCTTACCCAACTATATGGGGTTGCCTATATGAATCCTGTCACCATATTTCTTGCAAAGCAATTTACAGGTATTTGGTTTAGATCTTGTCGAATATATATATTCTAACTTTAGTTTTGACTTTTTGAGGTTTACGATGTAAAGCTCTTCACATTTATTTTCCATTCAAAAGTCAAAACCTCTATAAACTCCCCTCTGTTAGGGAATATTTGTTATCTAGAATTTATCTGTGCTCAATTAGGCCATTAATTATTTTTTGGGTAAAAGACTTACACATACCCTAAGTTTTCATATATTGACTTAAACATACCTTTAGCTTTTCAAATGGGTTTCAATATACTTTCCTATCATTATCCTAGACTGTATAAACAAAATTGCAATTTTTCCCTTTTGTCAAACGGTCAAATAATAGGGAACGTATGTTTAACAAACTTGCTGGAGCAATACCCACCAGGGAGAAACACCAGTTGCTTCAAATCTTCTGGATCAAATACCAATGGCCCTTCCACTTTGCTCAAGGCATTCTTTTCTTTGTTCTTCTTTCACACACTGCCATTTAGTTCATTTAAGATCTTTGCCTCCAATTAAGGGTTTGTAGAAACAAATTAGAACCAAGTGAGGGATGTGCCCCTTGTGTCTCATCCAGTGAAAAAGGAACTTAACATCTGTCTCTAAGAAAAACATCATTGTCCTTGGCACTGGATAATAGCCTAATATTCTGTCCTTTTCCCAGTGAAGCAATGTACGTTGTTATTAAATCACTTAATTGTTCTGTTCTCCTCTAAGCAATTCTTCTTTCTTCGAAATAACGAAAGATATTTCTTGTTTTACCCTCTTCTAATCCAAAGGTCCCAAGCCCATTTTGGATGAAGATATGAGCCTTAAAATTTCATATGGAAGGGTAGTTTAATAAATTATTATCGTACAATTTTCATTCGTGGCAATCTCAGGATTAATTTAAGGGAAATCGGGTAAAGTGAAAAGGAGTTTTAAATAATAATCCAAGGGATTCAGATTAAGTGAAAGTGATGACTAGTTAGTAGGCTGTAGAACCAATTGTAAGGTCCCAGACTAATCATTAATGCTTTGTGGGAGATTAAGTGATTGTGGATCATATATGTATTATAGGACTTGTGTGGAGTGTTATCAATGGTTCAACCATTGCTTCAGATAATCTAATCTCGTTTTAAAAGCCTCCATATTATTATTAGTGGCAAAAGATAATAATTTAAAAAGAGGAATTATTGTTATTAAGGCTCGAACGAGGCACGACTAAAAAGCAGTCAACCCCACGGGCGCGTCAAAACATCAATTAGGAGACGGAGAGCATGAAGAAGCGAACATTCCAATTATGCCACAAAAGCTCACAAATTACTTCTACCCTTCTGCCTCTGCCTTAACCACTTGGATGTCTGTCTGTGCACTTAAAATTGTGCTCTCGAGGTGCACCATGCACTCGATGAGCGCTTCAGCGGGGAATCTTTTCTGTACAACCACATGATGTGTCGTCGCCCAACGAAGAATTGTTTAATATGCTTCTGAATTCAGAACTCCCTTCTCCCTCTGACGAATGGAATTGGTTTGGTTGGGAGGTGATGGGTTGATGGGATTGGGGACACATCCCAATTTTGAGAGGGGCCGGGGAGACAAAACCTGAGTAAAAGGCCTTACACAGTGTTTCGCTTTCTTTTCTTTCTTTCTCTTTATTTATGTGTTAAACGAGAAGACTCGTGTTTACGTACACCCTCCATTTTGTAGAAAGATCAGGGAAGGGTGTCGTTCCTTGTTAGATTGACAGAGTAGATAATGACCTTTCAGGTTGATCCTATACTGAATACGGCAGTGCCAGATTTATTCAAAACTCACTATTCTTTGTTGTTTCTTGAAAATTTTGGGTTGGGTTGGGTAGATGAATGTCCCAATTGATTCTCCTACTACCGGAATGATACACAAATGAATCGGATTGGGCCAAGAATGAAAGAATATCGAGAGAGAGAGAGAGAGAGCAACGACTTACTAAAGTAAACAGTGAGAAGTGAGAACCTCTCTACAAACGTTAAGGTGGGAGATGGAAGTTTGTGAAAGTGAAATGGATGAATTGTATAATTAATATTATAAGATTCCCTACTTGATTACTTCAATCACTTTCACAGCGGTGTATAATTAATTTAATAGAAAGATAGGGTTGGTAGAGTGTGAGAATGGAGAAATTATACCATAGTGCTCGTGCTCCAGTGGAAATGGCCCTTTTTAGTTTTTAATTATGTCCCACTCCACACTTCCTACTTCCTTCTCAACCAAGATTCTCTCTCTCTCCCCCTCTCTCTCTCTCTCAAAACAAAAACAAACAAATGAAGAGTTTAGAAGTGTGACGTGAACACTTATTACTTGGTACAGCAAAGGACTGAAGGACCACCTTATCCTAACTCTCAGTCGTGGGATTCCAAATTTCCAACTACCAACTCCATATTTCTCAAAAAAGTAGCCGTTAGAGCTCCATATTAATATAATAGCCAATGGGCCCTAATCATTGATGGGCTTTAGCGTTTTCCATGACCACTGCATACTATCAGCGATGCTAATCCAAGGGCATTCCATAAGATAGATCACCCCATCTATTATTGCGTCGTCGATTGTGACTTAGGGCCCTCAAACAAATTATTTTATGAAGCTGCTTATAAATGTTGTATCTAGCATACACCCACCGCATCCCATAATCGTGGATGTGGAATCATATAGTCCCATTCAAGCTTGAAGGTTGCTTACTTTTCTTCATGTTGAGAACTGTCTTTAGCACGGATACCGAGTGGTTTTTATGTTTACGAAGCTCACTACTGCGGCCCAGGCCCAGAAATGGGTTTGGAATTTGAAATTTGGAATTTGAAGTAAAAAAATGTTAAGGTGGAGATAGAAAAGAAAAGAGAAAAAAAAAAGATGAAAAGTGAAAACAGCGTGGAAGTAATAAATAAAAAAAAGAAAAGGCGTCAAAAAGAATGAAGATTGATGATCATTGAGGGAAGGAGAGCGTGCATAGCGATCTGTGCAGGGTTTCATTTAAAAATAGAATAGGAAATTTTCTTTTATAAATTTATTTTATTTAAATGGATCGGAGTTGGAAAGTGTAGGAACTAGGAAGTTTGATGGGTGGAATTAAAGGTGTCAATGGACCGGTTTTAAATTGGACCCCATCAAATCCAAAATCAATTTAGATGGATTGGACAGACCAAAAAGACATAATGGACTGGATCAATCTGGTCCACAATATTTATTAGATTGGACTACACCTGGTCCATCCATAATAAATTTATATTAGACTTGGTTGGATTAAGCCAATATCCAGTCTGTTGATATAAGATAAAAATATGTCAATGAATCAAGTTTGGGTTGAGTTGAAATCAATCTAAATAAAAATGAATTTGAATAAATTAGACGGTCCAAACATTAAGTTAAACCTGTCCAAAATTATCTAAATTATTCATTGGATTGGATTTGACCTGCTCCATTTGTAATGAATTTACATTAAATTGGATCGGATTGGACCAAATCCAATCGAATGGACACCCCTAGGTGGAATGGAATGGCCCCACTCTATGGGGACTGTGGTTGGCTGGCAAGCTCAAGTCCGTTTGGTGAAAGAGAATGAAGACACCACTCACTCATAAATATTTTTAACCGTTGCCACCAACACAACACCACCGGATGTGAGAGTGAGATGGCAGTCCAAACTCTCATCTCCCAACAAATAGGGAGGACTGAAGCCTGCGAGAAGCCTGAAGCCTGAAGGATGTGGAGACCC